CGGTGCCCCAACTCCCCAATCGGCCCTCTTCTGTCCCTGACCATGGGCTGCACCTAGGGATTGGGCCTGCCCTCTGCCACCCAGGAGCAGGCCTAAGCCAGCAGGTCGTTATCTCCCGAGGGGTCCCAGACTGCGAGAGGGCACAGGCCAGGCTGAGGGACCCCCCCTTCCCCCCCGAGTGCACAAATTTTTGTGCACCACGCCTCTAGTATTGTATAAATAAAGACTCCAATGAACAATGGATCAGTTGCAAGGTTGAAATTAAAGTGCTCTTTATAGAACAATAGAGGATAAAAGGATTCTTGATTCTAGGTAAACATTAGGCTTTCTATATTCTGTATATACAGTGTTAAAAAAAATTGGGTAAGAAAATAATGTGATGATAGTTGTGCTTCAGAAAGTGGGAATGTGCTACATTTTTACAAAATTGAAATGTTGTTTTTTATAGCACTTAATTTCAGTTTGGATAGCTCATCATCCCATTTGAACCTGAGAGTTGAAGATACCTGTGTAGAGTGGGACCCTACTGGAGGAAAAGGCCAAGAAAATAAAGTTAAAGGAAAAGAAAACAAGGGCAGGTAAGTTAGTTCTTTAAATCTGTTGATTCTTATTTGACAATAACTTATACTGTAATGAAATTCTTATTCTGTATATCAGAATGGTTTGTGATGTTAGTAACATGAAAGTGAAACATATAATGTTGGTTAATCCTTGAATTTGTCACTAACATTTTCATTACTTTTTCTTGGTTTCTTTCCTAGTTCTCTTCTTACTTATACGTTATTTCAGTATCCCATTTCTTTAAAGTTATATTTATAGCAACTTGAAGTGCTTAGAGAGAAGTTCCTAGTAGTAGTTCCTAAATTTTAGATCACCAGTCTTACCTGAAAGTCTGCCTTGAATGGCAGTTTTTAGCATGCACAACCCCAGTGCCTTGCCCCCCATCAGCAAACTTATGAACCAGAGGCTTGGGACCTTTAGTTGTTGCTGGTCTTATTTAGAGTCTCAAAGTATGGGGCCTCTTTCTTTTTTAACAGAGGAAATTTTTCCTCAAACTGAAATAAGGTAATGTCACTGTAAGTTACAACAGCAAATAAAAAAGAATTTCCTCTTCAGACTTCTGACCTGATTTTATTATAAGCTGTTAAATTTAAGTCATAAAGCACTCTTAACAGTTGCCTATTTTTATCTGACAGTGCCCCTGTTACTTCACTGAAGAAACATACAAGGTGATGATCTTTGTCTAGTTCTAGGACTTAGTACGTTTAGCTTGGCTGAATAACTTCAATTTTTTTCCTTTAACCAATAAGCAGACGCCATTGCAGCAGCCTTCATAAGCTAAAATATTGCTCTGTGTAGACTGTCTGTTTTAGTAGCTTATGTTTTGAATTTACACCCTTAATGTGTGCTGAATATTTAGATTATATTGTATATGATAACAAAATAAACTCTGCTTAAAGTCTTTCTTGAATTATTTTCCCTCATCTGGTTTTTTTCTGCATTTACTTATACCTAGCATCTTTCTTGTTGTGCTATATTCAGTATATCTAACTTCACAGCTTTGCTTTTATTTGTATTTGACACGAGGCAGGTTTGAGGTGTTCTGTATTTTATAATAATCATGCAGTGTTTTAAAGCATCGGGATGAAAAGTAAAGGTTATAAAGTGAAATTATTAGGAAAGTACCAAAAAGATGAATCAATTCAAATTGCACAAATAATAATGTGCTAATTGGAAGATCCACATACCTTTATCAGAAACCAAAATGTATCCTCTTTTCAAAATTATCTTCCTCTTTTTTTCTAGTTTATCCACTCATTGGCAAAAGTGATTTCATAATTAGTATATTGTAAGTTGTAAAATGCTGCTAGATTTAGTAGTCTATAAAGTTTCATTTGGTCACTTGGAGATTTTTAGAATGCTTATGTTTAGAATTTCATATCATATTATTTTTCTTTCTCCCTTCCCTCCTTTTAAGAGTATTTTCTATGTAGGCTACTTCTAGAATATTATATACATTTATTCTTTTTTAAAAAAATATTTATTTTATTGATTTTCTTACAGATAAGAAGGGAGAGGGACAGAGAGCCAGAAACATCGATGAGAGAGATCAATCAGCTGCCTCCTCACACTCCCCACTGGGGATGTGCCCGCAACAAAGGCACATGCCCTTGACCGGAATCGAACCTGGGACCCCTGAGTCCACAGGCCGACGCTCTATCCACTGAGCCAAACCGGTTCGGCTACATTTATCCTTCCCATAAATATTTGTTCACTCTAGGATGTCAGCTGGATATTTTGGGGTTTATAGAGATAACCACTGTCTCTGCCTTCAAGAAAATTTCCCTGACTTAAGTAGAGAGATAAATCTATATACAAATACTGTAACAATAATACAAGTGGAGAGTGTGTGTAATGGTAAGTGGGAATAAAGGAATTTACAGGAAGAAAGAGGTTCTGATCTGCCAAGTGCTGAAGTGGTCAATTAGGACACTGAGCCAAACTGAAAGTAACAATCAAGCCTTTTATTCACTGACTATAATCCTGTAAACAAGAGGCCACAAAGGAAAGGCTGCTAGCTCCCCAGGGTTCCATTTTTCCCAGTAGAAGGAGGTGAGGGTCAGGTAAATCAGAGCAGAGCATAGATGGTGGATATCATCTATCTTCTAAGAAAGCCCCAAACAAATGGCTTATCCTGTTGTTAATGGACCTGAGGCCAAGAAGATGGAAGAATGGGAAAGGTTAGCCATAGAAAGTATTGAGACAGAGGGGAGAAAAGTGACATTACACCCTCATCCCTGCCCCCTTCTTGTAGGTCCCTGCAGAGGCAGTGGAAAGGGTCTCTGCTGAGGATCCCCACCAATTCGGGGATCTCTGAATAGAAGTGCCTAAGCTAGGAATGCAGATATGCATATGAGTGGGGGTAGGGGCAGGGGATTGCAACTCCTGCAGAAACTGCAGTGAACTGGATAGTGCTCTTGAGGGGTGAAAGGGCTAGAAAAGCAAATTGGGACCAAATCAAGAATCTGAAATGCCAAACTGAGTTGTGTGTAGGCAGTAAGGAAGTACTGGAAAATTTTAAAGTAGGAGAATCACAGTTACATTTATCTGGTAACAGTGAACAAAGTGAATTGGGTAGCAAAGAGATCATTTGGAAGCTGGTAAAACAATCCAGAGCAGAGGTAACAAAGATCCATAATTCAGATAGTTAAAGAGATTGGGGGGCATGTTTAACATTAATAGCTGTTATACTTCTTGCAAAAATGTACTTTGGGTCAGAAGTCTGGAATGCTGTGGTGGCAGAGTTCTTGTTTAACTTTTCTCTGAAATTTAAACTGCCATTCTCAGTAGTTACGTTTGTTTTTCTTTTTCCATGCCTTCATTTCTTTGCTACTGGTAAGTTATAAATTCTTTGTTTTTAAATGCAGTGATTCAGTATTATTGAAATTTTAAACATCTTTGGGATTTGATTTATTTTAAGTTGTTGAGAGTTAGTGAAAGGTCTAATACTGTCCAATTTACCATACAATGTAATCTGATGTAAGGGAGGTCAGGTTGGATCTTTTCCGTTCTAGTAGGAGAAATGCTTTTTAATACTTGACATTATCCTGTGCGTGGATTTGGGCAATTGCTGTTTCACTTTTTAAAAAAAAAAAAATTGAGTTTTTCAGAGAGGAAGGGAGAGGGATAGAGTTAGAAACATCGATGAGAGAGAAACATCAATCAGCTGCCTCCTGCACACCTCCTACTGGGGATGTGCCCGCAACCAAGGTACATGCCCTTGACCAGAATCGAACCTGGGACCTTTCAGTCCCCAGGCCGACGCTCTATCCACTGAGCCAAACCGACTAGGGCACTGTTTCACTTTTTAATAAGAAAAGATCCAGAACAAGAATATATACTTCTTTAGTTTTTATTGTAATACGCTTATTTTTGCCTTTGCTTCTATTTAAATTTAACTGCAAGAAATGTAAACTATAAAAACTCTTGAGTTCTTCCCCCCCCCCCCTTTGTATCTGATTTCATTTTGGCATTCTTTCTTATTTCAACTGTGTATTCTTTGTGTAAGCCTTGCTCAGTCTGCATGATATTAGTGTTTTTGGCTTGCTTTGTGTTGATGACTTCTTATACGTGAGTGTTATTGACAACTCTTTGTAATAATTCATGTAAAATTAAATGGTGCTATTTGTGCAACATAATTTTTAAAACTTTCCAAAGGTTCCTTTCGTAATTTATAATTTTAGTTTATGAAACATTTACATCAAATATATGTTTTTCTTTTTGTTCCTCTTTATGTAGAAGTGGGACACCATCCCCCAAACGGACATCTGTAGGCTCCAGGCCACCGGCAGTAAGAGGCAGCAGAGATCGTTTTACTGGGGAATCATATACAGTGCTGGGTAGGGTAAATACAGTTCTTCATTATCTTATAGTAAAGGCCTCACAGTCATACTGGTGGATTGTCTACTCACCCGAGAGCTGGAGTGATTGCCTCTGGTGAATGAATCTTTGCTGAAGTTTCTCCCTCTTGAAGCCTAATTACTCTGTCAGTTTTTCAAATTGTCTTATTATTGATATGTTTAAAACTTACTTAATTTTACATAGTGCTGCACATATATGTATAACTCTTAAGGGGATAGTAAGAAGTAAAAGTTCTGAAGCTTTTTATATTCAGAAAATTTAGTTAATAAGAAATATATAAGTAAAATGTTAGCATCCTGAATCAGATTTTTGTCCCATATGGGACAAGAGTTAGGTACAAATCTCTGTGACTCACAAGGAAGAGGTAAGAGTCAAATTTGCCTTCTGGTCTTTTGCAGGAGACACTGCTATTGAAAGCGGACAACATTATTGGGAGGTCAAGGCCCAGAAGGATTGTAAATCCTATAGTGTGGGAGTAGCATACAAGACTTTGGGGAAATTTGACCAATTAGGAAAAACAAACACTAGTTGGTGTATTCATGTCAACAACTGGCTACAAAACACATTTGCAGCAAAGCATAACAACAAAGTCAAAGCCTTGGATGTTACTGTTCCTGAGAGAATAGGTGTATTCTGTGATTTTGATGGGGGTAAGTTTACTGATTTTCTCACAATTCATTTCACCATAGTTGCTTATATTTCAGTACTTTTCACTGGTAATCATCTATAGAGAATTTCCATTAACATTGTGGTAAGGATATTTTGACCTCTCAGGATTTATTTGATCATAAGCATAATTTCAGCTCCAGAATTACCTGGAAAGGTGTGTGATGTCTGCCAGCAGCCCTACAGAAGTACTCATCTATAATATACTAATTTAGTCTGAAAGGAAAAATTTGCTAATTTTAGTCTTAAAGCTAAACTTTATTTTGTCCATTTTAATTCCTTCTTACCTTGTTTTATTACCTATAAAGAGTGGTGGAGTCAGATTTTTCTAGTTGGGGTAGACCTTAGTAATTACCCAACATATCTACTAAACAGTGTAAAATCCGTTTTACATTATCTCTGCAAGCAATTGCCACTTCTGTGCTTGATGAACCTTCTTATGTGAAGTTTATGTCTTAGAAGGCAGCCTCTTTCATTGTTAGATAGCACTTGGCTAGAAGGTTTTACTTAAATTGACTCGCTTTGTCTTCTAATAACTTCTGAGACTGTTGCTCTTAAATTTTGTCATCTTAAGAAATACAGAATTATGTTCCCTAATTCACATTTACAAGATAATCCTTATGTACTTAAAAACTATTAATACTGGTGCCTTTGCCCTATTTTTCCCGAATTATACATTCTCTGACCATTAGCCATTCTTCTTCTTTAATTTTTTCAAACCCTAATTGCCTATGGTTGTATATTATATCAATACATTTCTTTTAAAGATTGATTCTCAAAGTAATACAGACAACTTCTGGCCATCATAGGGCAGTGATTTGACAGCACAGTTTCTAGCACTATGTCATTTTTGTTTATTTAAGAAAAATTTTCACTGTAGCTGGTTTGGCTCAGTATGAGCCTGCGGACTGAAGGGTCCCAGTTTGATTCTGGTCAAGGTCACATGCCTAGGTTTCCAGCTCAATCCCCAGTATATGTGCGTGTGTGTGTGTGTGTGTGTGGGGGGGGGTGTCATGCAGGAGGCAGCCAATCGATTATTCGCTCTTATCATTGATGTTTCTCTCTCCCTCTCCCTTCCTCTCTGAAATCAATAAAAATATATTTAAAAATTAAAATAAATAAATAATCTTCCCCCAATTACAGTTTACATTAAACATTATTTTGTATCAGTTTCAAATATACAGCATAGTGGCTAGTCACATACCCTACAAAGTGTTTTCCCCAATATTTCCAGTTTCCAACTGGCACCATACACAGTTATTATAACACTAGAGGCCCGTGCATGAAAATTGTGCACTCCGGGGGTCCCTCAGTGCAGCCTGCACTCCCTTGCAGTCTGGGAGCCCTCGGGGGATGTCCAGCTGATGGCTTAGGCCTGCCATCAGTCGGACATCCTTAGCGCTGCCGAGGCTCCCGCCACTGCTGCTGCATTCACCAGTCATGAGCCCGACTTCTGGCTGAGTGGGTGCTCCCCCTGTGGGAGCACACTGACCACCAGGGGGCAGCTCCTGCGTTGAGCATCTGCCCCCTGGTGGTCAGTGCGTGTCATAGCAACTGGTTGTTCCACTGTTCTGTCAATTTGCATATTAGAGTTTTATTATATAGGATTGCCTGGAAAGTGCTTTGTACATAGTAAGCCCTTAATAAGTGTTTGCTGAGTGATTAATAGGGCCTGAGCAGTGAGGAATCAAGAATGGATTTGCTGTCCTAGCCGGTTTGGCTTGGTGGATAGAGCATCGGCCGGTGGACTGAAGGATCCCAGGTTTGATTCCAGCCAGGGGCATATGCCTGGGTTGCGGGCTTGATCCCCAGGGGGTGGGGCATTCAGGAGGCAGCTGATCGGTGATTCTCTTTCATCACTGATGTTTCTATCTCTCTATCCTTCTCTCTTCCTCTCTAAAATCAGTAAAAACATATATTATTTTTAAAAAAAGAATGGATTTGCTGCCCTGGCCGAATGCCTCAGTTGGTTAGAGTGTTTTCCTGTACACAAAAAAAAGGTTACGGGTTCAAATCCCAGTAGGTCACATACCTAAGGTTGTGGTTCGATCCTCAGTAGGGGCGTGTATTGATGTTTCTTTCCCTCACTCCCTCCTTCCCTCTCTCCTTTCTTTCTTTCCTCCCCCTTCTTCACTCTAAAAATCACTTTAAAAAAACATCCTTGGGTGAAGATTAAAACATAATAATAAAAGAAAAATAATGGATTTGATGGTATGAAGGTAGAATTCATACCATACAAAGAAGAGTTGAAGATGACTGAGTTTCCAGCCAGGGTGAACAAGAGGATGATAGTGTTATCAGTAGGAAAGAGAGAGTCCTGGAGAAATAGGAGGTGCCAGCAGGACAAACTATGGCATGTCTGGCAATATTTAGAAATTCAGTGTTAGAACTCAGAAGAAAAGCAGAGCTGAAGCTAATTATTAGAGATAGCATCACAGAGTGGTTACTGAAGATTGC